GTGCAGGTACTCCTTCCCCAGGGCTTGATTTGGGGTCCCTCGGTACCAAGGAGCAAGCGCTCATCACAGCCAACAAATCGCAAGATGTTGGCTAAAAAACAGAAGGAAGAAACACTCTCTCAAAGCTATACACACAAAAGGCACATTTTGAATCGAAAGGAATTCTATTTCTGGAGACAAAACACATAGAATTGGCTCTAGAAGATGTAAGCCCTCGTTTCCCCCCCCACCCCCAGTCTCAAGTGTTTTTCTCTTTTTAAGCTTTTCCTGGCTGAGATTGCTCCCTAATAGAAAACGTTTCTTCCAAATGAATGACCTAGAATCTAAGGATTAGAGGAGTTTTGGAAACTCGGCACTCAGAACTCACACCTGCTGCAAATTCACAAATTCTCCCTCTGTGTTATCACAGCAGCAAAGGCTCCTCGAGTGGGCCTCACCCAGCCCCCCTGCCTGACTGATGAGATTTTTTTTTTTTTTAAAAGCTATTAGGAAAAATTTCACCAAGATTCTACACACCCAAGAAAGGGGGTGGGGGCCGGGCTGGGTGGATGCTGATAAACCCCAGTGAGTTTGCAGTATCAGAGGGAAGTGAATACAGGGGAATAACCCTGCCTTACATTTGGGGTCCTCCGTGTTCTTACCAGCGAGGCAGCTGCTCTGCACACTGGACGCCCCCAAACGCCTCAACAGTCAGCTGGACCAAGCTGAGTGGGAGGGTCCAGGAAGGAGAAGAAAGACAGTGCTGTTTTCCACCAGCGGTGCACCCAAGCATGGCCAGCCCACGTGGAGGGGGCCTCTAAGGGAGCTCAGGCCCTCACCTCCCCCTCCCATCACACCAGGGCTGCCAGTGCCACAGCATCACACATGGTCGCGCGCACACACACACATACACCCTCGGGCCGCTCCTCAGAGGGTGTGGGTTTAGACAGCAAGGGGTGCAGGGGTGTGGGGTGGGAAGAGCCTAAGGCTTAGAAATAACAGACCTGGATTTGGGTCCAGGCTCTGCTACTTCCTGACTATATGCCCTCCTGTAAAACTGGGATAATGCCCTGGGGCTGCTGTAAAGATGGAAGGGGTCATCACGTTACAAGAATGTGCTCTGGGGAGAGATTCTCACCAAGTCAGCCCTGGACACTGTATCAATCCTCCCAAGAACATCAACCTACCCAATTCCCACCCCACAGAAAGAATTCTAAGTCGCCCACATCCCCATGTCTCCCAAAAGGTGTCCCTAAAACCAGCCCATGACCAAGACTGACCCTCTCCATGCTCAGGTGCCGCTGTGGAGACCCCAGACTCGGATGTGGATCCCCAGGGACCATCCCAAGTGCTACGTGGTGGGTGTGTGTGTGGGGCAGTGTGACAGTGACAGTCTACCAAACGGGCAGAACTGCCAGAGTTTTTTTTTTTTTTTTTACAACGAATCAGAAAAACTCTTCAATGCAATGAAATCTTAAAAGATTTATGCCTTCCTTAACATGGAAGTGTAAAGTGAAACAATGATCTCAGAGGGAGAAAAAATCCTTAGATCCATCTTAAGAATTAGGAGTAAATGGTAAATCACGACCCAACTTTATGCTACTTTAGAGTCTACAGCAGCTGCCCTTCCTCCTCAGCGGATAATTATCACCAGATAATTCCCCTTATCTCCTCTTCAGGTCCGATCAGCCACCCTTAGGAATTAGCTGAGGGAAGACAAAGCGGTGTCTGTTGACACAATCCTGTGCTTTGGGGATCCAGACCGCTCCTCACACCTAGTGCGCAAGAGACACAGACCGACAGAGAGAGCCCTAATTTTAAATTCCTAGTGACAGAAAAGTCTTCATAAGAATTAAGAATTCTCTGCACACAAGAATGGTATCACTACCTCACAAGCATCAGGACATGAGCTTTTTTTTTTGCGGTACGCGGGCCTTTCACCTCTGTGGCCTCTCCCGTTGCGGAGCACAGGCTCCAGACGCACAGGCTCAGCGGCCATGGCTCACGGGCCCAGCTGCCCGCGGCATGTGGGATCTTCCCGGACTGGGGCACGAACCCGTGTCCCCGGCATTGGCAGGCGGACTCTCAACCACTGCGCCACCAGGGAAGCCCAGGACACGAGCTTTGAATGGTTTTTCCGGAAGCATACTTTTACCTCCATCCCCCGGTGACAAGTTTCAAGGTGGTGGCTCATCTGGGGGGCACAGGTGTGGCTTCCCCAATGTTTCAAGCTCCACCACTCCAGCCTCCCTAGTAGTGTCCTTTAAACAACCAGCCTAACAACCCAAACAAAGAAAGCAAATTGGCCAGTGTTTTCATAACATAAGAAACTGCACAGCATGGTGGACAGTGTGAAAAATGATGTGGTCCACTGCATCCTCACAAATGACCCCCGGGAAAGAAAGTAAAGCACATGGGCATGAACACACATGCACATGCTTGCACACAGACCAACAATGCTCACTCATTTTTATATGGGAATTGCCTTCCATGAAAGAAGGTGGAAATGTTCCTAGTAGTTGAGTAGTGTGCTAGCGACAGAAGGCACACACTCAAACACACACATATACACACTCTCTCTCTCTGTGTGTCTGTCTGTCTCTCTCTATTGTTACAGGGACAGAGGCCGGTCCACAAAGGCCAGGTTTGGAGGCAGCTCAGCCACTTACCTGTCAGGCGACCACAGGAAAGTCAGGGAACTTCTTGCCTTGTTTATTCATTGGTAAAATGGGGACATGGTATTCATCTTGAAGGGATGTTGCAAGAATTAAACTAACATATGGAATGAACAGCCTTAACACAGTGCCTGACACACAGAAGGTTCTTTACGGCTTCAGGAAAGTGATTACTCAAAATGTCCACAAATCACACAGAAACCCTCTCTGCTCCCAGTTTCACATGACAACACCCAAATTCACAGTCTGGAATCTAAGTCTCTCCATATATGCAAACGGAGCATCGTCTAAACCTTCTGGAAGCATACCCGTGCTAGGTCCCCACAGCCCATGGCGGCTGAGCGCCCAACGCCTCGCCAGGCTCGGAAGTTCTCCTCTTGTTGCAGGACTTCCCCATCGAACCCCTCGTTTCCCTGACGATTTCCCCTCAGTCTCAGAGCATATTCAGTCTCTCCCTTTGGCTTTTTCACTTTTGTCCTAAAACATGCCGAGTTTTCTAATTCTTCACCTGCTCCACTTCCTTTTTCCACCAAAACCTTTGCAACACATTTGATTCCTGGTAAAGGGGTTTCCTCACGACCCATGCCCTGAATCTCACACAAGTTACAAGGCCTATACCCCCCGCTGACCTGAAATTGCCTCCTTCTGCATAAGCCAATTTTCCTGCTGCCAGAAGCCCTGGCCTTTCTGGACCCCTCAGCCTTCTGGGCTTCTCCCCGGGGTCTCTAAGATGGAGCTCCCTCCTCTGAAGTCTTGGCTTTGCTCTCTCTCCTCTCCTGGCTTCTCTTCCTCCGTTCCCTCCACCGCCCCTAACAATTCAGCTCTGCTCCGACTCTGTGAAGTCCTCACGGGCTCCTACCTGCTTCTCCCAGACACTCGACTGTCACCAGCGGCTAAACTTCACTCCTCACTCAAGCATCTTGCCAGCCTCCATGCCTGCACGTCCCACACCCGGAAAGGATCCCTCAGTAACTCCAGGCTGAGTTTCCCAAGAACCTTCACTTCCACAGGTCTCAGGTTCTAAGGATCAAATAATGAAAACCTGACACCACCTGTGAATTGAGAGGAGTTACTCAGGCTCCTGGACTCATCAGAAACACCTGGGAAATTCCGTGTTACACGCCCCTTCCAACCAGAGACACAGGCAGTGTGACCGCACTGCGCCCTCTGACAGGTTACACAACTCAATGTGACAGACAGCAATTCAATTTCGACCTCATGCTCTGCATACAGCAAGTGGGGAATCTTTTCTAAGTTTATGCTTGTTTAGTTGGGAAGGGGGGTTGTTTGTTTGTTTTTGCTTAACAGGAATTATCCCTTCCCCGTTTCAGTTCTCACCCCAGCCCATGTGCAATGATCCAGGGACCACCACCACCTCAGAGGCCTGAAGGCTCACCTACTGCCTTCTGAAATAAGGTTTCCTGCAGCACAAGTTCCAGTCTGTCCCTCTGCTTTGCCAAAGACAGATCCGCCTACTGGCTATTCTTTGCTGTAAAGACAACTGTGCTCTAAGACAAACAGTGTATTCTTAGGGGAAAACAATTAATTTCAACCATCACATGCGTTCCCCAACAGCCACTGATTCACATCAGCTCATCCTCTGATATCTGGCTTACACAAAAACACAAAGACTTGCCAGATGACAACTGAATGAACGTGATGTATGTAACAAAATCTGTACTCTGTTGCTTCGCTTCCTCTTTTTTTTTTTTTTTTTTTTAAGACAGTGAAACCTTTATAAGGAAGAACATTAGTTCTTTCCTTGGTCTTTAAGGACCATTCTCTCCTGACAACCACTTAGCTGAATCCCCCAAATCTAACTTGAAAAAACAACAATCGCACACTTTCAAGCAAGTTGTTCCTGGGGACTTTAGAAATCTACAACACCTACAACTGAAGAGGTCAGTTTTATGGGGACATTTGGACAAAACTCGCCTGTTCTAGAACACTGGCTAGAGCAAACCTCTCAGCTAATCCTACATGTAAGTTTTCAGCAGTATACATTTTGGAATCTTCTCTGTGCCCCAGAACACACAATATGGATCTAATTAGGTCCAGCTGCTTTACGTTAGTAATAAAATTGAAAGAAAGAGAGAGAGAAGTGGCTTTGTTCGTCCTCTCCTATGCCCGGCGATCTCCAGGCCGGTGCATCCTCAACGCTGACTCCAGGCAAAACACGCTCCTTAAATACCCCCAGCGAGCCTGATACCCTGCTCAGCGCTCAAACTTTTCAGCTGCTGAGTTTTCACCCGCTGGCAGAGATTTACTGAGCGGCTGGAGCCCAGCGCTGACCCCACCCCCGCGGCCCCGGCGCGCCCCGCCCGCCCCTCAGCTCCCGAGACTTACACGAGCGCGGACGGACAGGGCATCTGGTTCCAGGCACAGTTGTACTGAGCCTGAATAAAACTCTCACTTCCTTCCAGCACCGAGCAGCTCACGTTCTTGTTCACGATGTAGGCGCACCAGTTCCTGGGGTGGAGAGAGAGAAGGGCACGGTATAAACCGGGAGAACAATGAGGCTGGGGGAGACGGGACGAGCCGACCCGGCGGCTGACCGCGCGAGGGTCGGGGAGCCAGTCGTCCCCGCGGAGGTGGGAGCACGAGCAGCAGATATTCGGACGGTGCGCGGGTGCGCCTTTGGAGAGAGTGCACCTTTATCCCACAAAAGACAGACGGGAAGAGCCCCCACGGTCCCAGGGGCCCCAGTAATTCCCGGGGGGGAGTTTCCTGATCGCCCTGCTCTGGGGGACACTCCCTGCGCCCCATGGCCCCTGAGGCAGCACTGCTGGAGGCGAGGGCGAGGTTGCCCGGGACGCCCCGCGCCGGCCACGGAGCGCGCGGCCACCGCGGAAGAGGCGTCGCCCCGGCAGCCCGAGGGGGAACCCCGGCTGAGGCTCCTCGCCTCGGCAGGGCAGCTTCGGGGCCGGCGGCCGGTCGGGGAAGGGCAGGCGGGGTCCCACGGCTGTGGGCCGTCCTGGGGCAAGGAGAGGCCGCGCACTTACTTGTTCCTGGCGCTGGGTCGCGCGGGGTGCCTGGGCTGAGGGTCGGCGTGGCACAGCCCTGCGCCGCCCAGGGCCAGCAGCGCCAGCGCCCAGAGCCAGGGCGCGCGGGGTCGGGGCCGTGTCCGCTGCCACATTCTGTGCGCGGCGGGCGCGACCAGCCGGCCGGATCCGGAGCGCGGGTCGGGCGAGCGCCGGGAGGCTGCGGGCTGCCCGGGCGCGGCCGAAGGCAGGAGGCTCGGGCGCTGCGCGGCGCCCCCACCCGCGCTCCGCGGCCGCCCCCTGCGGCTTACTCGCTCCCACTTCTCCTTTTCCGCCCCGTGCGTCCGCGCTTCTCCCCGTCAGTGACGCACAGGTCCCCCCGGGTGCCGCCCTCTTTATTTCACTTCCCTCTCCGGAACGTGACTCTCGCTCCACCACGTCTGTCTCCAGTCCTCTTGCTTCTCGGCAGGGGGTTGGGGGGGCGGTGAAAGGGCTGTAGGGTTTGGGAGAAGGGTCTCTGTTACAGAATTTCCAATTACTCATTCCTTTGGTCTCATCCCAGGAGCGGGGCAACGCCGCCTCCCACCTTCCAGCAGGCGCGCCCGGCCCCTCGGGAAGGGCCGCCGTCAGCGAGTCTGGCGGTCCACACGTCAGGCCTGGGTGCCGGCTTCCCAGGGAGAAGGAGGAACATCTTTATCAGTCCTTTATCGGATTCGGATTTCCTCCTCTGGCAAGACGTGGCCATTCCTCCGCATTTGAACTTGAGAGTTTAGGGGAGATGAACGCGGGTCCCCTTCTCTTTCTTTCCCTTACGAATCCATTGAACAGTTTCTAAGTCAACGTGCGGGGCAGCAGGGGACACTGGAAGCGACAGCCCCACAACTTCCCAGCAGATTCTGAAGCACAGCATCAGGCTCTAGTATACAGATCATCTCTCGCAGCCTCTGCTTCTGATGTCCTATTCTGAACTTTCTTTTTCTATCAATATTAAAGACATTTACTCCACAACAATCGCCTTTGCTTCTAGACAGTTCAGACACTGCTAGACATTTGTCTTTTCACTTGCTTGCATATTTTCTGCCTATTTTTGGGGGGCAGTTTTCAATCCTGTTATTTAATAGGATTATATAATGAGCCATAATTATAGATCTTAAATTTTCCTTTAAAAATACTACTTAATGGCTGTATAATATTCCATTTTATTTCTGCCTATTTTTGAGTTACACTAATCTCTACCAATTTCTTTTAGGGATGAAGCAACTCTGCAGAAGAGTGTTACATAAAATCCCCACTGGAGTATTGTGTTCTTGGGGTGGGGAGAGAGCTGTATATTGATATTTGAGTTAACTTACTGCATTTAATGAACCGGAGTGGGGTTATCTGTAGACTGCATAGACTAACTGCAATATCTGTGAGTTGACGGGACACTGTTGGCTGTGAATTGTGATGTGGACCATAACACTTTGCTATGTTCCCTACTGTAACTAGATGAAACTAGTGGTCCATTTTACTTGATATGCTTTGATGATGTTGTAGGGCCTTTTGATTTGCAAATAGAAGAAAATTCCCTAAGTAGAAACTTCACAAGAGCCAAGCAGAAAAATATACCATGCAAGGACATAGTCTCTAAATGGAAAATCATGCAAATAATGGACTGATGTCATCCCAGGCTTCGAAAGAGCCACCCTGAGGGGGAAGTGACAGAAAGGGATAAAAAGCTGTCTTGCATAACCCTAGCTCTATCTTTCTGTGTGGCTTCCCTATCCTTCCCATCCTAACACCATTTTTGTCCGTGAAGTGACATAAGGGAAGAAGCAGAGCACAGAAATGTAGGAGAGGGACAGAAGGGAAGAAATGGAGGAAACACACAAGTTGTGTATGTCTACAGCTGACAGCTAACAAACCACAACTTCTCTTAAATACTGGTAATTCTCAGACTTGAGAGTGAGTCAGACTGATCAAATCACACCTAGTTTTTTCATTGACTCAAAGTTATACCGGGAAGCTGTCTTCCAGTCCAAGAGTTGGAGGACCAACTTTTTATTGAGATGACCACGACACCAAATTTAATCAGCTATAAATGGCATTTATCAGTAAATAAATGTTATTCTGAGCATCTGTTACATGCGAGGCACCTTGCAAAAATAGTAAGTCATGGGTGAGTGAACACGGATGGGGGCTCTGTGTTTACAGAGCTCCCAGGCCTTCCTGTGCAACAAACCGTGTGATGTTTCTGATGTGCAGTCAAATAGGTTAGACAATATTTGTCCCATGCGTCTCTCTAGACACATCTCCATGGGTACCCACTGTGGGGCTGGAAGATGGAAGACTTGAGGCCTAGATCTCAAAAGACCCTTTTCTTTTTCTCTTCTCTAGCCAGAGGAAGGGACCCTTCAGACTCAGGAAACAGCCTTCCAGAAGAAGCAAAGCCACTTTCCTGCGGAGAGAGTGGAAGCACCTCAAGAAACAGTCTAACTGGGCAGATCATCTGGTCCCAGTCATAAGCAACAAAGTGGAAATGATTGGCAGAATGCTGCAAGTGTGAATTCTTTATAAGCCGCCAACTTCCTCAAATAAGCACTAGAAAGCTGTCAGTTTCCTGTAACAATCCAAAGTAATTTCTTTCTCTTTTAAAACAAACATGCCCCATAGTGACTTATATTCTCGATTGTGTCACCAACTTACTGAACCGAACTTGGATCTGCTTGCCCAATGAGCAGCCAAGCCAATCTACTGATACCAGGTTGTGGTGAAGGAAAGTACAGCATTTATTGCAGGGCACCAAGCAAGGAAAACAGGCAGCTCATGCTCAAAAGACCCGAACTCCCCTTTGGCTTTCAGGGAAGGGTTTTAAAGGCAACATCTGGGGTGAGGGTCGCAGGATGTGTGATCAGCTCGTGGACTTTCTTTTGATTGGTTGGTGGGGAGGTAACAGAGTGATGTGGCAGGAACCTTAAGCATCAGTCCTCTGGTTCCACGTGCTTATGGTCAGCATCCTCCACCTGGGTTGGTGTGGGGGGGTCTTAGTTCCTGCAGAACAACTCAAAAATGTGTCAGATTGTTGGGTACATCCCTTGAGGAGGACCTAGGACTCTGTTTTATTGCTCAACTATTGTTTAAGCTACCATTACTTTTCTTGCTTGACTGCTTTTCCTTTGTTTCTGAATTCCCTCACTTCTCTAATTAGTAAGTGCTTGAGTCTGCTCTTTGGAACACAGGCAAGGCCTGAGAGACTAAAGCCTTTTTCTCTACAAAGAAGAAACAGGCAACACAGAGGGGCTTTTGTACCCAGGGAGGAATCACAGGGTCCTGCTAGGTTTCAATCTCCACTTTTTTTTTTTTTAAATAAATTTATTTATTTAATTTATTTATTTTTGGCTGTGTTGGGTCTTCATTGCTGGACGCGGGCTTTCTCTAGTTGTGGCAAGCGGGGGCTACTCTCCGTTGTGGTGCACGGGCTTCTCATTGCGGTGGCTTCTCTTGTTGCGGAGCACGGGCTCTAGGCACGCAGGCTTCAGTAGTTGTGGCACGTGGGCTCAGCAGTTGTGGCTCGTGGGCTCTAGAGTGCAGGCTCAGTAGTTGTGGCACATGGGCTTAGTTGCTCCTCAGCATGTGGGATCTTCCCGGACCAGGGCTCGAACCTGTGTCCCCTGCATTGGCAAGCGGATTCTTAACCACTGCGCCACCAAGGGCCCTCCCCTTTTCTTGATATGCCTCAGTCCTGAGGGGAACAGGGGCTGGACAAGAAAGGGAATAAGGTTTTGTTTATTTATTTATTTTTGGCTGCATGCGGGCTTTCTCTAGTTGTGGTGAGCGGGGGCTACTCTTCGTTGCGCTGCGCGGGTTTCTCATTGCAGTGGCTTCTCTTGTTGCGGAGCACGGGCTCTAGGCACGTGGGCTTCAGTAGTTGTGGTTTGCGGGCTCTAGAGCGCAGGCTCAGTAGTTGTGGTGCACGGGCTTAGTTGCTCCGTGGCATGTGGGATCCTCCCGGACCAGGGCTCAAACCTGTGTCCCCTGCATTGGCAGGTGGATTCCTAACCACTGCACCACCAGGGAAGTCCCAAGAAAGGGAATAAGGTTTTGGATAGAGAGGATAATCATAAACTCAAGTAGGAGAACTCAGATTTAGGGGGACTCAGTCCCATTAACTAAAGCAAAAACGCAAAGCAGCGCTATTTCAGAAAATCCATTCCTTCACTATTGGTCGTGATGAAAGAGCTCATCAGGCTCTGTACTTGGGGGGTACTTCTCGTGAGGCAGTGAGCCTGCTGGATCCCTACCACACCCAGGCTCCCTTCAGTTGCCCGGAGGGGGAGAGTGGGTGATCACTACGGAGGCGGCAGGCGGGTTCGTCGCCTCCACCGCACCACCGGTCATCTGGCACAAGACGTTTGATCAAGGTGAACCGATCTGCATCTAGGATGTGGTCAAGAGTCATATGACTTGGCCTGGGTGTCCCAACCTACTCATTGCTCATCTTTTGTTTTCTAGAACTCAAAAAAATATTTCCCCTGATTTCTAGCTGTAATTTTAGGTGTCTTAACTTCTTTGTACTGTTTACTAATGATGAAAAACGAAAGTCCTTGAAGATTAGATATCTCGAATAAATTTTGATTGCAAAGCATTTCTAACATAATACACCCTCAGAAAATGTCTTACACATTCTTAAGTGAGTGATAAGATGCCCTTCGTCTTTGTTTGTTTGTTTTTGTTTTTTTAAGTGCGGTTGGGTAGGGAAGGAGAGGCAGAAATGTCTCCAAGGAAAATGAACTGGCTGCACCACATAACTTGGCCTCTGCTTTGGAATGCCAAGATTTGGTTGATACAATTTTGTGTAGCTCCATTCGCCACACGCACAGCATTTGACAAGGCACCTTTGGAAGGAAGTCAGTGAGTCCCCAGACTTCAAAATTTACAAACAAGAGCTACTTTCCCATCTTGTCAAAGGCTTTGCTCAAATAAACCCAAACTGAACAAAGAACAGTTGCTCTCTTCATTTTTTCCTAACTGTATATTTGCAAATATCCCATCAGCTATACAGAGCTAAAGATTCAAAATCTCTTTATCTTCTGAACCCAAGACTGATCTTATTTATCAATTGATTGATTTGATAGCATTGTGAAAGATTATGGCCATTATGTTAATCATCTTTCTT